GTCGGTGTACGTCGCTGTCTGCGCGTCGTACCCAAAGTTTGTGTCCGAGGACTCGAGCAGCTTGCCCACGACCACGGCGCCCTCGGCGCCCGCGTTGGACGCGATGGTCTTGCAGGGGACGGTGAGGGCCGCCTTCATGATCTCGACGCCGTGCTTCTGGTCGAAGTTGGAGGTGGGGATGCCCTCGAGCGCCTTGGTCGAGTAGAGGAGCGCGGTGCCGCCGCCGGCGACGATGCCCTCCTCGACGGCGGCGCGGGTCGCGTTGAGCGCGTCCGTGACGCGGTCTTTCTTCTCGCTCACCTCGGTCTCGGTCGCGCCGCCAACCTTGATGACCGCGACGCCTCCCGAGAGCTTGGCGAGCCGCTCCTGCAGCTTCTCCTTCTCGTACTCTGAGGTTGTGTCGGCGATCGAGTCGCGCAGCAGCTCGCAGCGCTCCTGCAGGCAGGCGTGAGGGCCGGTGTGGGGGCGAGGTCCGGGCAGAGGCGCGGCGACGTCCCCCCGGAGGAAGGGGGGGGGGGGGGGCGCTCCTCGATGGCGTCAGTGTCCCCGGCGCCGTCAAGGATGATTGTGTCGTCCTTGGAGATGGTCACCTTCTTGGCGGTGCCGAGCACCGAAAACTCGGCCGTCTCGAGCTTCATGCCAGTGTCCTCCGAGATGACGGTGCCGTTGGTGAGCACCGCCATGTCCTGCAGCGTCGCCTTGCGGTTGTCTCCAAACCCGGGCGCCTTGACGGCCGCCACGTTGACGCCGCCGCGCAGCTTGTTGACGACGAGCGTGGCGAGTGCCTCCCCGTCGATGTCCTCGGCGATGATCACGAGCGGCTTCTGCAGCTTGACCACCTGCTCGAGGAGCGGCAGCATCGACTGGAGCGAGGAGACCTGCTCACAGCCAGAACGCGTGAACAGGCGCTGCTCGCATCCGCAGCTTCGGCGGACGGACGGGCACCTTCTTCTCGACGAGCAGGATGAGCGGGTTCTCAAACTCGCATTTCATGTTCTTGGGCGAGGTGACGAAGTAGGGGGAGATGTACCCACGGTCGAACTTCATCCCCTCGACGACCTCCAGCTCGTTCTCGAGCGTCTTGCCGTCCTGCAGCGGCGAGCGGGCGCGCTCAGCCTCCCTCCGCCCTCACGCCTCCAGCTGAAGCCTCCCCCGGCCTTGGGCATGCCGTGCGAGCGGCTGCTGCTCTGCACGGCGGCTGTGCTGGCGCTGGGAGGAGGGGGCGGTGGGAGGGGGGAGGTCTCTTCGCGGCCGGGCGCGCCCCGCCTGCACAGTGATGACGCCCTCCTTGCCCACCCGCTCCATCGCGGACGCGATGATCTCGCCTGCGCGCGGCGGGCGGGCGGCGCTCACGGCGCGGAGGAGAGGCCGGCAAGAGGGAAGAGGCCGGCAAGAGGGAAGAGGCCGGCAAGAGGGAAGAGGCCGGCAAGAGGGAAGAGGCCGGCAAGAGGGCTCCTGATCCGCGGCCCCGGTCGGTGCCTGGGGTGTGGCGGAGTGGCGAGGGGGTGCGGTGTTGAGGGGTGGCGGCACCGATCTCGTGGTCCGAGTTGGCCGAGATGGTCGCCACGTTCTTGATCTCCTCCTTGGTGGAGATCATCTTGGTCCTCGCCTTGAGGTCCGCCAGCACCGCGTCGACGGCGAGGTTGATCCCTCGCCGGAGGTCCATCGGGTTCATTCCCGCCGCCACCGCCTGCGGAGGAGCAGGGCGCCGCGCTGTGGCGGCGAGCGCGCGGGGTCGAACCGCGGCGGCGCCTCGCGCGCCTTGCAACCCTCGCTGAAGATGGCGCGCGTCAGCACGGTCGCGGTGGTCGTGCCGTCGCCAGCAATGTCGTTGGTCTTGTTGGCGACCTGGCGCACGAGCTGCGCGCCGAGGTTCATGTGGCGGTCCTTGAACTCGATCGACTTGGCCACCGTCACGCCATCCTTCGTGATCTTCGGCGCGCCAAAGGACTGGTCGATGACGGCGTTGCGGCCCTTGGGCCCGAGCGTCACCTGCGGCAACAAGCTGTCGTGAATCGCGCGCCGCAGTGCAGGCGCAGTCCTCGCCACGCGCCACATGTCACCGGCAAGAGCCGCGGCTGGGAGGCTGGGAGGCTGGGAGGCTGGCTGCGGAGGCAACGACGGTGTGCTGATGGCGGTGTGCAACGGTGCCTGCACGGCATCCGCCAGCTGGTCGACGCCCTTCAGCATGAGCGCGCGCGCCTCGTCGCCGAAGCGCAGGTCCTTGCCGGACATGTGGCGCACCGCCGTGCGCACCGGAGTCGTGGCCGATCTGCGGGCAGCGGCGGAGAGCAGCATATTGGGTCGACACGTGCTACTGCGCTCTGGATCCGGAAACAAGAAAAAGAATTCGCGCCCGTCCCTCGCACAACAGTGCCGTCCTCCCATCCCTCCCTTGGGTTGTCCGTTTCCTTTCTTTTCTTTTACACTGGGCACGGGACTGGCTCGCACTGGCACTAACACAGGAATTAGGTGCCCGGTAGGCTTGGCTGCAAAGGGGATTTTCGCGTTTTGTTTTTTTATTCAGGGTTTTGCAACTGATTCCGTTTGCAACAAACGGAATCAAGAAAAGAAACGACCGCAAAAGCAGGGCGGCGTCTCGTGCTCGACCAGGATCGCCGTCCCGGCGCGAGAATGCAGCCGGGCTTGCCGTCGTGCAGCCCTTTTTGCTTCGGCTCGTCGTCAGCGACGCGCCAGTCCTGGCGCAGCCGCCCCGCCGTGCGGTCCACGGCCTTGCAGCCCGTCGACGCGCCCGACGACGTGACCGCGGCCGAGATGGAGGCCTTCATGGACCACATCCAGCCGAGCTTGTACCAGCCGCCCGACGACAGCGACATCGCCCATGAATTCACGGCGTGGCTGGCGGCGCGCCGCGAGACGTTGCGGACCGCCGCCGGTGCAGGCCGCCCTCGCGACTCGCAGGCCGACGTCGCCGCACCCGACGCCGGCGGCGGCGAGGAGTCGCCCGACAACGAGACGGGGCGCGCGACTCCGCCCGCACCTGCGCCGGCGGCGGCGTCCGGCCGCCGGCGCCGGCGCAAGCCGCTCGCCGGCGGCGGCGGCGAGAAGGAGAACGCGGACGTCGAGATGGACGCGCTCATGGTCGAGCGGCCCCGGCCTGCGCAGACGGAGCAGCGCTGGCGCGCCGTCCTTGCCGCGCGCCACGAGGATTACGACCGGGAGCTCGAGAAGGACAACCCGGAGCGGCCGTGGCACAGGGTGCCACACTTCCAGGGCGACGTCGAGGCGGAGTGCAAGCTGTGGGCAAGGGTCTCGCGTGCGCTCGGCGAGGCATACGCGCGTGACGGCTGGCGCATCGAGACCATCGAGTTTGACCCCAAGCGACCCGGGCAAGCCAAAACCGCGCGCGCCACGCGCCACAAGAGGCTGCGGGAGGCGGCGAAGCGGGCGGAGAGCAAGGCTGCGGCTGCCGCCGCCGCCACCGCGACGCCGTCGCCCGCCGCCGCCGCCGCGGCGGCGGCGGAGGCCTCGGAGGGCGCGGCGGCGGAGGAGGAGCTGAAGGCGGCGCGACGAGCCCAGGCAGAAAAGACTGCTGCACGGCTGTTCGAGCAGCTGGAGGACGGCGAGGAGGAGGGGGAGGGGGAGGCGGCTCGCGAGGCGTCAGCGCGCACGCTATCCATCGCCACTGATGCCTTGCTGGGCGTTCTCGACGCGGCCGACGGAGGCACCGTCGAGACGAAGGACGCGTACCAAACGGCGGACAAGCCGCTGGGCGAGGGGGAGGCGACGGAGGCGGTCGAGAAGGACAACATCACCATCGCCTTCAACAGGACCATCGTCCGCGAGGTGCGGCGGCTCCTGCAGACGTACGGCGGCGATCACAGGCCGCCGAGCATGGGCGCTGAAATGCACTACGAGCTCGCTGCGATGGAGGGCCCGTACGCTGACCCGAACGCCTTCTCGTGCGACCCGGACTCGCTGTCCACGCAACAGCTCGACGCGCGTTTGCTACTGTGGTACCGGCAGTGCCTCCCCAAGCCGCCGCAATGGCGCGCCGACCCAAAGCTCAAGCAGCAGCCCTGGCGCGGCACCGATGGGCAGGAGCTGCTGCTGCCGCAGTGCTGGCCGTCGCATTGGCTGACGCGCGCGCGGCTGCTCGGCGCGCGGCGCGGCGTCGCGCTGACGCTGCGCGAGGCGGACGCAGAGGCGCACGGCGAGGCGCCGCACGCGCCGCAGCTCGTCGCGGACGCAAAGTTCGCGTTCGAGGTGGCGCTGCGCGAGCAGCAGCCCGCAGGCGCTCTCTATGAGAGCTACCGCCGCCTAGCGGCGGCTCTCGCGCACTCGCGGCGCACTCGCGCGGGGCTCGCGCTCCGCCACCTGGCCCTTTGCCCGGCGTGCAGCGACGCCCTCTGCTTCCCGGCGCAGCACCTCCCGGCCGTGACGCGCTACACGCTGCCGCCCGTGGTGCAGCGCGCCGGCTGCAGCGATTGCGACTACTTGGCGATGCGGCGCATGCTCGCCGCCCGCACGTCGTCGTACAACGAGTGCACCGCGAAGGACGCGGCGGAGTGGCTGCGCGGGCTCGAGCAGGCTGACGCCGTCAAGCACGCGTGGGGCGTCGTCGTCGTCGACGCCATCAACCGCCCGCCCCACGCGGCGACGCGGCTCGCCATCATGGAGGGCACGTTCGACCACGACTCCTTTGCCGCGTTCCTGCGGGCGACGCCCGGCGTGGCCGTGCCCTACTGTGGGGCGCATGGGCCGCCGCGGTCCGCGGCGGACGATGCGCCGATGCCGGGCGCGCCACCGGGCGCGCCGATGCCGGGCGCGCCGATGACGGACGCGCCAATCCCGGGCGAGCCGCCGGCCCCGGCGGCGGCGGAGGATGCGCCGATGCCGGGCGGCGGGCAGGACGCGCACCGTAACGGCTGCGCGTGCCCCGGGGGCTGCCTGGGCGGCCCCTCGTTCCTCCCGTTGGATCCGTGCTGCGAGTGCGAGGAGTGAGTCTCGTCGTCGCTTCCCACACTGCGCGGCGTGTG